GGCACATATAATCCAAGTGCGTCACAATTCGAACCAATAGTTTTGAGACATGGTTCAAAGCATAAGATTCACACATGAAATGGATGTGTTTCACAATAAGTGCAAAATGAAGTGTGAGGCACATGCTGATGACGTGTGAAATTTTTTGAGTGTAAGGCCCAGTGCATTTGTCGTCTTTTTCGTTCTCCCTCTGTTTAAATGGTTGAAAGAGGTTACGTCAAACTATCACTCATTTCAACAGACGGAGAAAGAAAGAGACGACAAATTCACTGGGGCTCACCTGCTTAAGGGGGGAGTACACTTTGATTTTTCAAAAAATGCATTTTTTTTTTGGCTTAAAATGTTTCTTGGGATGTATACTTTAATTTAGAAAAGACGCCAAGTCCGCCAGAATATTCCTTACCGCTTTACGAAGCGATTTCCTGAAACATGTACCGGCGCGCTGAGAGAGCATTATTTTATCTTTAAACACGTTTATCTCGAAACGGGATTTTTCAAACTGGTGTGGGTAATAACTCTAACCAGTTATCATGAAATTTGGATATCGCCTAGGATTTTTTGTTCAGAATTAAATTCTGCTTAGAAATACGTATACACATTTTCGATTTTGTCAAAAATTGATTTTTAATCCACGATTTTGCAAGCATTTTTAGGGTGAAAATATGGACTTTTTTTTCCTAAGGCCACAACTTTTGAAAAAATTAATTTAAAAAAAATCGGAATACGTATTTCTAACCCAAATTTCATTACTAATCAGGATTTTTGTTCGATTTATGTTCCAGGATCACATGGAAAGGAGTATTTTCCCACGCCGTTTTTCAACTTCCGCGCGAGGACGCCCGCGCGACCTGGTGCACCGGCCACGGGGAGACGCCAATCGAGTTCAAAAAAATACAAATTGTAGTTCGAAGGATGACTAATAATTGGGTTATAACATATTTGCCCTCCCTGAGTGTTTTATTGCTTAAAAAATTAACGAAAATGCCTTACTTTTTGGACGTTCAAAATGTACTACCCCCTTAAGGACTGTTCATTAAGGCTGTGAACCATTTGCCGAGTTAAATTTAACTCGTGGTTAAGAGTGACATTTCGAAAGTTATTTCTTATGTCTAGATAGAGCTGGAATAAGGGCGAATGTCGCAAGTGTAAACAAACTGAGGTTAATACATCACGTTATACTACTATTAAAATGCTACAAAACAATACTAAAAATGTTTGGACAAATAATGTACTTTCTTAAAAAAAACGTAAAAAACATAAGGGCGAAACCAACTTTTTTTTATTACAAATTGAGTTGGCTCTTACGGCCGCTTCCTCCCATATAAATAGATGGGGCGAAACAGACATATTTTCTCCATACAAGGCGAAAGATATAATTTGAATCTTTTCACTACTCCTTGCAATTACCGGTTGGTAATCAAAAGAAAACAATGTTAATCTGATCGAAATAAGCGAAAACACCCCAACACATGAATTTATTTATCTAGATTCCAACAAACTGCAATAGGTCGATAGTAACAAACCATCAGGAAAAAGAACGTAAACATTGAGGCGAAACAGACAATGTCAAAAACTAGCAGGCGAAACATAGGGGCGAAATAGCGTCTGTGAACGCAGCCGGGCGAATAACCTCAGGGCGATACAAGATACTATAAATCAAAAGGGCGCATGCAACATTTTAATTTTTTTTTTGAGCTGTAAATAAAAATAATAATATTTTTATTTATCTCACCATAATGCTAACCAATAATGTAATAATTAGGAACAGTTCATTTCTAGGAATGGGTTTATAGTTTATATTTTATTTAATAATTTTTTTTTTCAAAACTTCAGATTCATTTGTCTCAGTTCAAGCCCATTGCGACATTGGCCCTAATTTCAGCTCTATCTACATGTTCGAAAATCCCCGTGCTGTCTATCGACCGGTTTTCGAGCCACGGTCGTCAAAATTTAACTTCTTGTCTGTCAGAAGTAAAGGGTGATACGGTCAAAATTTGGTCAATATCAACTTGACGTATTTCTTTCAATTTTGCATTTAAAAAACCTGAACACCCCTCATTTTGAAGGTGTGTGTGTGTAGAATGTTGCTCCTATTTTGATTTTGGAATTCACTCTTCAGTTGTCAAAATGCCGTCCAAGCAAGAAGAGCAGCGTATCAAAATTTTGCTCGCGCATCGCGAAAATCCGAGCTACTCGCACGCAAAGTTGGCAAAATCGCTAAAAGTTGCCAAATCAACCGTTACAAATGTAATTAAAGTGTTTGGGGAACGTTTGTCGACAGCCAGGAAGTCTGGATCGGGGGGAAATCGAAAACCGGAAGCCGCTGAGACGACAAAGAGAGTTGCCGGTAGTTTCAAGCGAAACCCTAACCTCTCTCTCCGAGATGCCGCAAATAAGCTGGGTGTATCGTCTACAACCGTGCATCGAGCCAAAAAACGAGCCGGACTATCGACTTACAAGAAGGTAGTGACTCCAAATCGCGATGATAAACAAAATACGACGGCCAAAGCGCGATCCCGGAGGCTGTACACGACGATGCTGACGAAGTTTGACTGCGTGGTAATGGACGACGAAACCTACGTCAAAGCCGACTACAAGCAGCTTCCGGGACAGGAGTTTTATACGGCAAAAGGAAGGGGAAAGGTAGCAGATGTTTTCAAGCACATGAAACTGTCAAAGTTCGCAAAGAAATATCTGGTTTGGCAAGCCATCTGTACCTGTGGCTTGAAAAGCAGCATTTTCATAGCTTCCGGGACTGTCAACCAAGAAATTTACGTGAAAGAGTGTTTGAATAAACGTCTGCTGCCTTTCCTGAAGAAACACGGTTGTTCCGTACTGTTTTGGCCGGATTTGGCATCTTGCCATTACGGTAAAAAGGCCATGGAGTGGTACGCCGCCAACAACGTGCAGGTGGTTCCCAAGGACAAGAACCCTCCCAACACGCCAGAGCTCCGCCCAATTGAGAAATACTGGGCTATTGTCAAGCGGAACCTAAAGAAGACCAAAAAAACTGCTAAGGGCGAGCAGCAGTTCAAGGCAAACTGGCTTTCTGCGGCGAAGAAGGTGGACAAGGTGGCTGTACAAAATCTGATGGCAGGGGTCAAGCGTAAGGCCCGGCAATTCGGATTTGGAAAAGCGGAAGCCTAACTGAATATTTTTCCTGAATTTTATACTAATTGAACTTGAAAAAGAAATTTAATTTGATTTTTTAAATAAACGATTTCACCGATTTACACGCGTTTTCCCTTGACCAAATTTTGACCGTATCACCCTTTAACCACGCTCGGATAGCAGGGTTAATCAATAACTTTTCGTCTGTCAAATTTTAACCGAAAGTTAAAATAATCCACCAAATGGTTCAGAGCCTAAAGAAAGTGGACACCTGTTTATCAATGGTTTAGGGTAAAGATATATAAAGATAATATAAAGATAATTTATAAAGAGACGACATGTCAAAATTGGAACAAACCATCATCTGTCAAAGTCATAAAAAGCCATTCAAATCGAGCAGAAGACCTGTCAAATGGATGAGATGTCGTTGTCGATGTTCAGTGTTAAAACGTAACGAAAAATTGGGAATTTTCTCTCAGTGTGTAAAAACATTGTTTATTTTGGCGACACACCTGAAAAATAAAAAATAAAAGTGAGAAATTTCGTACGATGGGTTGGATCAGCTTATCAACTCGCAGATTAATTCTGCACAAATGGTTTTCCGAAAAGTTGTCGTTTCGAGAATTGGCAAAAAGCGTAAGATTGTTAAGAAGTTTGGGGAAACGTGTTCTCTTAAAGATTTACCGAAATCTGGGCGCAAAAAGGAGGCATCGGACCAGAAAAGGAGCTGGCAGCAGTACGCCTATTGAAATCGCATAAAACGTGTTTCTTTCGTGAAATTGCCAAACAAAAATTGGACATTAACGTCGGAACTGTTTAGAATATCTAAAAACGTAACAATATCAGAAACTACAAGAAGCAAAAAGCACCCAAAAGGACGGATTCACAGAAAGCCTCTTCGAAAATACGGTCACGGAACTTGTATGACGTTTTCCTTCAAAAACCAAACCGGTGCATTTTGATGGACGACGAGACGTACGTCAAATTAGATACCAGTACACTTCCCGGGCCACAATTTTTCAACGCTGAGCAGAGGACAGATGTGCCTGATGATGTGCGATACATCCGAACCGAAAAATTTGGAAAATAAAAGGTTTTGGTGTAGCAAGCCATTTGCTCCTGTGCTGTGGCTTGAAGAGTTCTTCGTATTTCACAACGGGCACAATCAATGGTGAAAATTACAGAAAAGAATGCATCAAAAAACGGCTTCTAGCCATCTACCGAAAGCATACGGATCTTGCATTGTTTTGGCCGGAAATGGCATCTGCTCACTATGCTTCTGCTACGTTGGAGATGCTCAAGAAGGAAAAAGTCGATTTTGTCGAAAAATTCCACAATCCCCCAAACTGCCCTGAACTGCGTCCTATCGAAAGATACTGGGTTATCATTAAACGGAATCTTAAGAAAGATGCAAGAGAAGCAAGCTCTGTTGACTGCTTCAAGAATATTTGGTCTGCAGCACAACGAAAAGTTAAGAAGAAAGTTGTGCAGAATCTTTTGGGCGGTATCAAGAGAAAAGTCCGAGCGTTCTTCCGAAATGAGAAGTAAACATTCAAACTCACGTGAAATCGGTCATATGTATGTTGATTATCATTTACATAAAGTGAACTTATGAATTTGTTCGAAAATAAATATTTTCCTTTGAGAAACAGGTGTCTACTTTCATTAATGAACAGTCCTTACACTAATGAATTTTCCATATGTGAATTTGGTTCAAAACATCAACAAACCATCGTTGCTTGTTGTCGTGTTAAACCAGTTCTGCGAGCTAGGCAACGATTTTTCGTGTTTGACAGTCACCTTCCCCTTGGAACTCGCGGTGAAATATGCAATCTCGCCCGTGTAAAACGGGCCCCTAAATCGCATACAATCTACAGCAATCTACTCACTTGTCGCTTCCGATCAGCTCGTATATCCGACTGGTATCGGTAATCTCTTGGGTAATCTCACCGTTCCGCAGCGATCTGCCCTGCATGCCATTTTTGTAAAACGCCAACACACTATCGGTAAGACAAACTGCAAGCGAAGCAAACAATTGTAAAACCTGTTCCTAGATAACTGTCAACTGCAGTTCCAATCTTACCTATACTATCGATATTAAAACTAAACTCCAAACGGGAAATATACTTTTTGCTCTGTTTGGGAAAACCTACAACATCGACTATTTGTACGACATTATCGTAACACACTAGAATTGCATCCCGTTCAATCTGCAAAATAAAAAAAAAATAGAGGAAGCATTTTAGACCATGGTCGGACCGGCAAGATTAGGTAAACTCACCTGATGCACTTTAATTGGTCGTAGAGTGTCCCTCCGGTTGATCACCGTGGCCATGCCGTCCATTTCCTCCGCGTTGGAATTGAACCAACTGGAAGCTGTTGAGAATAAAGTTTTCCTATATTATTTACGGCCTTCCTTAGCCAATTCTTCCTCAGCACTTACTGTTGTTGGTGTTGATCAAATCTAGCTTGAGGGTATCGTTCGGTCCTCTCCGCACGTTCACGCACACGATCGGATACTCGAGCTCCGGAGTGATGATCATCTCGAACACGTTCGAGTTCACACCGTAATACTGCAGGTTTCCGGACGGCCAGTCGCACTGTTTCAGCAGCATGAATTTGTTCAGTGGATCGTACCTGTCGACCGGGGAAATTCACGTATAAATTCAAAGGACTTAAACTTGATTGTCAGCGGATATCTTACCACTGCATCAGGAAAATTCCGCTCGGTAGCGAACCACACAGGTATTTGTACCCGTTGTAGGGATTCCGCGTCACGCAGCACTGCGTACAACCTTTGGTGTCCGGCACCTTGGTTGTGAGGGCAAACTTACGCGGGACCAACTTCTCCGGGATCTTCTTCATGTGTAACGAGAAACGATGCGTTTGCTTGGAATGTAGCGCCAGCAGGTCGTGCCGGTACAGCTGCGAGGTTTTCCCCGAAAGCGACATCAGGATGTCCTTGATCACGTACAACCACACGGTCCGCCGGGGATAGAGCTGCTCAATGGCGGCATCGTGCAGTTCGTTCATGTTCAGGTTGAAGATGCCCTCCTCGGCACCGATCAGCAGGTGCTGATCTCGTGTCTCCGGATGGATCCACGACGTCGTACAGTGTATGTGTAGCGGACAGTCGTTGAAGATCTTGGAAAAGCAGGCACCCATGTGAACTTTTGGCGTCGGTGGCAGCCCGTTCGAGACGGGCCGTGGAGGTGTATGCCGCCTGGTGCGGTGACTTCGCTTCGGCGGCACCGGAGGGGTGTTGTTCAGGAGATCCGGTTGGGTTTCTGGAGCGGGCGGGAAAGAAGCAGTCAACGTCCCACACTTCATAATAACTAAGAAATGTTACTCACCATTCTCGTTACCACCGTCTCCATCGCTCAAACTACGCTGCCTGGAAGACTTCTCCAGATCGCTGAACAGTCCCGTCAATTGGTCCATCGATCGCCGTTTGTTCTGCGCTTCCTCGTCACTCGTGCCGTTTTGCTGCTACAAAGTACACATGTTAACTAGGATCGTTGCTTGAACGAAGCCCCTCCCCCCCCCCCCTTATTCTTACCGCATTCAGCTTCTCGAAACGGGCATTCAGGTTATCGATGTCCGCATAGCTCAGGGTGGAATCATCCCTCGCCCCGTTATTGTCGTAGCTGTCACCGGTACAGGAACACTCACCGCCTCCTCCTCCGCCACCTGCCACCAGCAGCGAATCGTTCGGGTTGTTCGACAGCGGCAACGTCCGCCTGCAATGGGTAGGAATCCAAAACGGAACAGAACAGTTCAGAGCCGGGTCATTTCGCGCGGTACTCCGGAGTACGACGAAGTTGGAGAGATGGAAGCCATCCCGCTGAACTCAAGACCCACAAACACGATAGGAAGAAAGGTGATGGTTTTATTTTAACTCTAACAGAAGCAAGCCACCCAAATTGGAAACAATGATCTACTATTACAGTACTATTACTTATGCAGGTTTGGCGATTATTGCGACGGATCATTGATTGCGACAAGGTGGTACAAATACAGAGGGCAAGCAACGAACTAAGCACAAGCGTTACGGTAAGGCGATCACACTGGTCCACAGATTGGGGGGTGCAGAAAATTTGAATTGAGCTTTAAACGGTAATGATGGCTTGGTAATACCGTGCCTTTATTTACAAGACCATCTGAGGCATGGTGACTAGAAGAGCCGATTATCAAGATTATTAATTTCCCGTTTTCCCGGAATTTTCGTAATTTTCCCGGTTGGAATCGAAGAGTTGACTGGCATTTTCCTGAAGACGTGCCCGGCATAGTGATTAGTATCCATGTTGCTCACGCTAAAGGCCACGAGTTCAGATCTGATATTGGACAAGGCACAAATGACTTAAAATGTGTTTATGATTTTCTGTCTGCGTCGGAAATCTTCAACGTTTGTAATATGTTTTAACAGGTTTTAACTACCTTGATAATTCACGCAGAACACTTTAGAGGACTCCTTTGTACGCAAGATTACCCGTAGAACCATTCATCTTTAAAGAGATCGTTTCTAAGTTTCATAAAATTAACAAGAGCTCTTATATTGTCTTGTAATTGTCTTTAAAATATTCTCTTTGGAGTTTAAATGATTCTCCCAAGAGCTGAGGCTTCCTTTTATAATGCTCTATAGAATATTCATACAATTCAGCTCTATATAGGAGAATGAATTTCTGATCAGATTTATTTTGGAGTTATCTTTTGGAATTCTTCTGAAACCTCATTTGAATTTTTCTTCAGATTTCTTCAGCTATATTCATAGTCTGGCGGATAGAATCTCGGGAACCAATTGAGCTGTCAAATAGCGGAACCAATCGAGCAAGTCACGACCAACAACAGAAAATAGCACAGCAGCTCGTGACTCAAGGCTCGCCTACGCAAAATAACACCATCTTTGGGTTGGGGAAAGTTTCCCCTATCCGATGATGCTGATAATTTGCGTTCGATTGGCGAGGAAAGAATAATCAAAATTGTGTTTATAAAAGCTGATAGTACCTTTTCAATTGTTGGTCTATAATATATTGAATTGGTTCCGCTTTTTGATTGATCGAAATTCTATCCGCCAGACTATAAATATAGCGAATATAGCTTCGACCAGTGCTGCCAAAATGGCACATATATTTTCTATATAAGATTTGCATGTTCATTTACTTCCATTTTTTTTTTTTTTTTTGAAAAACAAAATAAGAAATTGTTTTTAACATTTATTAGTGATGGTTTCTAAATTGAATACAGGTACTTATAGCGAATTCGTTTATTATTCAGTTCCAACCTGGATCGGGTATCAAGATTGGGTCTACTTGTTTTCTGACAAACGTCAGTTTGCTCGTTTGTTTTTAAAACCTAGCTCAGGTTGAGGTCCACACTGACAAAAAGTTCGGTTTCGCACTGGGTTGGAACTGGTGTTAACCCCGATAATAAACGAATTCGCTATTAGAAAAGCAATAAAAGCACAATTTGTTTAAATTAAATCAACAACACTAAGATGATAGATGATTCTTACACACACCTTCGTAATGCAGTGTGTTGAAAAAAGGTAAACAAAACATTTACAGCTTACAAAATTATTCTCGGGTGCGATTTTAACGATGCAAATGATATTATTTAAGTAAATATCGACTTTAAAAGTGAATTTACATGAAAGTGAAGTGACTAGTGTGGTAGTGTGGATCTGAGAAGTGAAAGCTAGTGAAATAGGTATTGAAATTGCAGTCCTAAGCAGAACAAGATCGACTGATTGTACTTTTTAATGCAAATATTACCAATGCGCGAATGAATTAATCATTTTGTCAAGCTTCTGCATTCATGTTCCATCAGATGTCACTATCTGTTTTCTTATAATTGTTCACAGAGGACACTGTAGTGCAGAACATGTCTGGTACCTCTATATATGCATTTAGATTAATATTCGTCCCTCCTTTTTTAACATTCTGCACACAAAATAGCTCACCCCTCACAGAATTTTCCGCCGATTTTTATGAACGGGGCGGAGCAGAAAGTATCTTTTATGCAGAATATGCAAAAAAGGAGGGACTTCGAATGATATTCTAAATGCATACATAGAGGTACCTGACATGTTTTGTAGTGTCAGGTACTCTATTTTGTAATCTGTGAAAGAGAAATCACAAATCGAGTGTCATCAAAATACATGACATGTTGAGAGATTGAGGTCGAGAGAGAGAATTTTTTCTCTCAAATTTGAATTTTTTGGCTCTTTGGAGACTGGTAGTAAAGCAGGTAAAACTGTATGGGGATAAATCATTTTCATTTAATTGTAGCTTGTTTAACAATAATTTCCGGGAAAAAAGTGAACGACAAAGTTCCTGACTAATTAATTTAGGTGGTCGTTCATTTTTTTAACCTGAATATGCACCGAAAACGAATTATTCCCACTTCTGTCAAATTCTATATGGGGATTTTTATCACTTCCTACCAGCGAAACAGCGTGTGGAAAATGGACAGACAATATGCTTAATTGGCAATATGTTGGTGGAAAAGTGTTCAAATATGTATCCAGATCTTATTCATACAATTCTGGCCCATTTTCTAAGGTATGTAATTAGTCATTTACTATTTTGTAGGAACATGTCATTCGAACACATACCAGAACACGTTTATTTAATGATTGTGGGGACAGCCATTGTTGCATGGCGTGCCGTATAACCTTAAGCAGATCTTATTATTCAAAAAGACTGAACAAGTCCAAGTGATTGAGAATGTGGAAAAGTTATGACCTGGGTTTTTGTCGCGTTGGTACGGTTCTTCCAGTTGTTGAACTACTCATGCCTCTTTTAAAAACACTTTTAAACTTAGAGAATCACCTTCTTAGGTTCCCGGAGAAGAACCAGCCTTGGGCTGAAAGTCTATTGTAGTATATCCCGTGTCCTTAGTTTAGTGCATGTCGTATTACTCCATTACTATTGAGAAATGATGAAGTATTCGATTTGTTTACAGTTGTCATTCTTGCATTTATCGGTAGGATCTGACTCTAATTGAAAGGTCCCGCTATTTATACCCTTCGGAGTGTTGAAACACCCTCCAAAGGCGCGCCCCTTTGTCAGTCAAAATTGGATTCCTTAACAACAAAATGAAGGAATGGCACCGATAATGACCATGCATCAGAACCCTAGTCTTAACCAGTTCAACCTAGGGAGAAACGAATAGAAGATTAGGAATCACATAGATGAAGACTACACACTTAGAAATAACTAATTTTACACGTGACGGAATCCATCTTTGACATAAAGGATGAGACGTAAACAAACATGTCATGTAAAATTAAGTGCTCCGAGACTGAAAAGCTCGAAAATACGTTTGATTGAACTGATTTTTGCGTCTATTATGACTCAACTTTATGTCAAAATTGACGCTCGTATATGTCAGTCTCAGAGCACCTAAATTTACATCAACTTTTCTAAGTGTGTAACTAACTCATTTTTCCTTGATTCAAGATCATCCTCGGTGGGCAAAGCCGAGTCTTGTCACTATCAACAAGGCATAAAAAGTAACAAGGACTAAGAGGTGTTCCTTAGATTACTGAAAAATCCTGTTCCCTTAGTTTAAAGTAGTCAGGACTAGGAATCAGTGGTAGATCTTACATCCCGTAACGTACCACGAATAGGTGATCTACCCACGTTACGGGGCATAGTCTCCTATGAAAATCTCCTTAATAAAGAAACAACAACCACATCAAGAGCTCCAATGATCCTACTCTTGTAGTCGATGGTGTCATTTGCAAACAGTGACAACGTTCCACCATCTGGGAGATTCGGAATGTCGGAGCTGAACAGGTTGAATAAGATGGGATCAAATATACTTCCTTGTGGAACGCCCGCGCCAATGTTGAAGACACCAGATACATAATATTGGATGATCTTCACGAAGAATATTGAAAGACCATATTGATGCAATGTGTACATGAGATCATCATGCCAGACATTATCGAACCAGCTACTACTTGTACTAATACTCGACTTACAAGACACTGAAGAAGTCTACACATTGTAGACGAAAAACGCGTATACCTATGTCAAAGATAAGCAAATAAGGTAGTGGAATTAAATGGAAATTAATAATCTCTCTCTCTCTCTCTTTCTCTCTCTCTCTCTCTCTCTCTCTCTCTCTCTCTCTCTCTCTCTCTCTCTCTCCATCTCGGATTTGCGATTCCACAATGCCGTCAAACACCCATTTCTGGAATCTACATTCCGTACCGGTTCCGGAAATATCCATATTCTACGGTATTTATCCAGCATTCACAGTATTCTAGAATATCGGAAGTCACCATCTTGAATTCCAAAATGGCGTCGAACATACATTTCTGGCATCTACATTCCGCACCAGTTCCGGAAATACCCATATTGCATAATATTTGACGAGTTTTCACAGTTTTATAGCAAACATAGGTCGCCATCTTGGATTCCTAAATGGCGTCAAACTTCCATTTCCTGCATCTACATGTCACACCGGTTCCAAAAATACTCATATTGGGTGGTATTTGACAAGTTTTATTGTTTGCCTAATCGTGCGGGAGTCCTTCATTTACGCGAAATCCGCGTCGCGGATCGCTGTTTTCCAACGCTTAACCCGCTTAATATGACTGCCGATGTATAAAAAAAGATATCATCGAGATGAATCGTATCATACGTATATATTCCAAGCGCTGCTATTTCACACTGGAAAGGAAAATAATGTGTGTGCGAAATGCTTCCGTGCGGTAGCCGATAGGTAATCC